TGAAGAGCAGGTCCTTCTTTGAATCATGCTTATGGTGCACCCTCTGAAGTGGTTTGCAATCACTTTGGCAGCTCTCAGAGACTAAATGAACATTCGGAGGCTTCCTCAGTGTTCTGCATTCCACACTCCCTTCATTCATTCATTATCCTAAGAGCTCCCTAAAGTGGTGCATTATGCATTCACCAGAACTGAATTTAACAGAAACCAGAAATGAATTTAAAAAACAAGCACATGCAGCACACTACAGATTCAGGATGCTTTCTCAGAAGTAGTTTCCAAATGTGTTTCATAGGGTTTATTCCAGGAGAAGAGCACATAGAATTTCATCCTTCGAGCACAAACATGTATCCATTTACTTAATTTATAATGGAATCCTAGCATTGGAAGGGGGTCTGGAAGTCCAGTCCAGCCCACTGCTCATACAAGGACCTCCCTGAAAGAAGGCTCTCTGGCTCTGTTTGAAAGCTTCCAGCTCCCTCAGGCAGCTGTGCCACCCTGGAAAATTTCTCCTTCCAAAGTTTTAATTAAAATCTTGTCCTTCTGATTTGCATTCACTTGTTCTCGTCCTGCCCAGTGACGCGACAGAGAGGAAGCCTGTTTCACCTTTTGCCAGTCAAACACTTCAATCATTTGAAAATGACAAATGTACTTTTGAGTCACATGAAGATAGGCTTGTCAAAGATTTATTTTGAAACTGTGTCAGGTGGAATTGTTCATTTCCATGGACAGGTAGCAATCTGAAGAATTGCTCTGGTAGAAACCATATGTTTCTCATGCTTTGGTGAGATGGCTTCTAATACAATGGGCTCCATTACCTTTCTCTCTTCATAAGAGGGAATTAGGCTCACTGAACTCAACAAGAGTGACTCTTAATTCAGTGTGTATGGGACTGCATCTTGAAACTGCACATCCAAGTTTAACAAGAGGAGATTTTCAAGTAAAGGGTGAGAGCCTGAAATGTTATGCACTCTATTCATTCATTCATTGGCAGCTGTCTTGCTCAAACCTTTCTGCAAGACAGAAGATCCCTCTGCAGTTGAAGTCTTCCTTTTGCTTTCCTTCTGAAAAAGAACCCTGCAAAATCATGTCTAGGAAATTGTTTGTGTTCTGCAACTGACCACTAGGGACTGAACTAACCTCACTCTTTTGCCTGTGAACTTTGCAAAAAGAAAAATGAGTCTTTGGAGAGGGGAGGAATCATTTGATTTGCAGCTGACCATCATGTTTTAAGAGAAGATAGGCGATGAACAGACACTTAGGAGCAAAACAGTATCTCCAAGACTTGCATTCTTCAGTGGCTCTCTAATTTAGAAAGCAGGGGAAAGGTTTCCCATAAGTTCCCTTAAAAATGTTCAGCAGGTGGATAAACATCACATATCTTTCTGCAATGCTATTCCATAGAATAAAGTGTGAGTCATTTCTATCTGACTATCTGACTATTTTATAACAGGTTCTACATACTTCAGAAAGGGAAAACGCTCGATGTCCAGGGTCCAACTTAACATTTTACAGATGTGATAGCTGCAGGGAATGGGGAACTAGGATAGTTCTGATTTTTTTCCCTTGGGTTGGGGGAATCAAATAGGGGGCTTCTTTTATTTAAAATTATATTAAATCTCTTTTTGGCCATATACTCTGTGTTTGCATGTGTTTCCAATAGTGGGAAAGAAGCTGCCATCTTTTGGCAACTATGATGACAAGCAGCTAAGAAGTCCTAAAAAGTGGCTAGGATGCCACAGGTGTCACAGGTGAAATGCACTGAAGCGCAGGTTCATATTCACAAATGACTTTTTAAAGCCATCATTTCTAGTAAACTGCTATTTGAAAAATACATTGCCACAGACTGAATAAATGAGAAACATTGCTGCTCCTGTGGCTGTGATCTAAGACATATATATATATATATATATAATGCAGCAACAGTACTTGTGTCTATCTGTGTTCTCGAGCTGTTGCTGCAATATATCACATTTATTAAAACTGTTTAGCATTAGAACATGTCAGAACATGTATATATATATATAGATAGATCTCAAACAGAC